TTAACTGCCATCTGAGTTGGCAGTTAATTTGCATATAGCCCTGATTAGCCAATGAAAAGGGTAGCGTTGTACGCCAATTACCATTTTTCTCTCTTATTAGTGTAGATAAAATTTTAAAGACAATGCTAGGAAACAGTTTCTATTTAACAGACTAGGTTCTAAAACATCTTTTATTTCATAAACCAATGGCTGTTTATAAGATCTACAATAGTCTAAAACTAAAAATATCAAAAAGACAACTCTAGAATCAAATCAATCTTTATTGTACACCTTTTACAAGTGGGATAATATTTCACTTAACTAAACAAATGAAATTATTACTTATGCCATTAAAAAAAAAGACACCCAACAGCCCCAGTATTCCCGCCTACATACAGATAGGTTTAATAAATGTTGTAGTGGGTGCAAACGAGTTAGAAAAGAACCTAAAGAGAAGGAGAAAATAAGAAACCGAGTACAAAGCATAGGAAGTGTCTATCACTTGCCAACTTGTCTGGTAATATGAAAACAGACTAGACCAGGGGTGGGCAACCTTTTTGTGAGTGCGTGCCAAAACCAGCAAAATCTGACTCAAAATTCTTCTGAGTGCCAACCCTAATTTTTTGAGAACATGTTACGCCTACTTGATATCTCTTAAGGTGTACGTATGTGAAGAACCTTGTAGAAATAATAAAATTCATTTGAGCGACAAAAACACAGTATATGATGATGAAAAATACATTTTTTTTTATACTGGGAACAAAGATTCACAAGCGTATGTGAATGAAAACATGGAGAGTAACGCTGTTGCAAAGTTCTTTAAACAGAAAAAATTTTCTGGAATGGCATTCCAAGTCCTCAATAGTTCGTTTTCGACACTTCTCTCTGGTACTCCTGTCTCTAATCGCTTTTTTTCAATGTTTTCCAAGTCAACTCTAAGGTCAATAAGTTTCTGCTTCTAAATTGAGCTACTCTGAAACTCAATCAACTGCATTTCAAAATCAGCCATGGCTATCCATGAAAACATTTGTAAGTTTAGTTCCTCCAGTTTCATGTTGTCTGGAAACCTCATGAATTTTGCTGCTCTTCCAGTTCTCTGAATTTCGCAAATCTGGAGAAGAACGGCTCAATAGTTGGCTCGATGATGTTTAAAAACAGCTTTTGAAGGCTTTGACAGTCTGTTCTATCATCTTTTGGGAGGTCTTTGATGTGCCTCTTGAAGTTTGGGAAATATCTAAATCTCTCACCATCCACATCCCTCTTAAAGACTTCCAATTTCTTTTCAAAAGCCTTTATGTAATCAAACATAACATCAAGTGTCTTGCCAGTTCCTTGTAATTTAACATTTAAGTCATTCAAATATTCACAAAAATTGTAAATGGAAGATTATAAGAGAGGGTTTCGAGTGCCAGCAAAAGTTACTGCTGTGCCATGTTTGGCACGCATGCCAGGGGTTGCCTGCCCCTGGATTAGACACAGACTGAAAATGTGGTCATCAACCAGAGGTTGATACAACCTTAGGACCTCTAATAATGACCTACACTGCTAAGGAGAAGAATACATAATACCTCAATACTTTATATAATGCAAACTGAAGAAGGAAAGATACATTACTTTGCTGAATATCTACAAGTATTTCTTCAGAGTTGGATTGAAAAATTATGCTTGTTATGGGTGAGAAGTTCAAGTTATTTTTATTATTATTACTCACAGTGTGCTCAGCCTCTCAAACCTAAGAACAGGCTAACACCTCCCACGCCACGATTTTAACAGCACATGATATATGTCTTTATTACTTCTGAATCTGAGAGTGGGCTCTGCTTCCTGGTGATTTTTAGCAGAGCTGAACTTTGATAACTAAATGATTACCAGCTGCTACTATTTCCCTTCTGCAACCATCCTTATCTGTATTTCCTTGTCCTCCCCCACCCCCCCAAGTTTGCTTTCTTATCAATGTGAATTTGTTATGTAATTTGCAATTGTTTTTAAATTCTTAAAGGCAGATATCCTGTCCTTTGGAATTTCTCCCAGAATTTTTGATCACATATATATGTGATAAATGCTTTCTGAATAAAAAGCAAAGCATTTAATAGATGCTTCTATCACCTCTTAGAGTAGATTGTATATCCAGCAAAGGGAATAGGTTTAGGATAGTATAAAAGAAAAAAACAAAACAAAAATGCTCACCTTTGCCAACAGAATACCATACTGATTTCTTTACCAACTTTCAAGTAGCGCTAGCAACTAAGTAAAAGTAAAGGAACTACCTATCTAGAAATTCTGTGGAATAGTGTTAATAAAAATACCATAAAAGACCATCAGTTCATTTCTCTAGACACATATAATGTTGAAACTGAAAGAAATCTTAGAGCTCGCCTAATTCCATTCCCACTTTTACAGAGGGGAACCTAAGGCTTAGAGAGGTCAAATGAGTTTTTAGATTGTATTCCAAAATTTTGTGTATTATGTAGAACTTGGGAAACATATTGAGTGAATGACAGACTGGGTTAAATATACTAAACTTTATCTTACCTGTGTTCTTTTTACTTTTTAAAATGTGGCTACTAGAACATTTAAAATTAGACATGTGTTGTACATTATATATATCTATTTCTATTGACAGTATTGTTCACACAAATGTAAGTGAAAGGGTTAAAGACAGTGGTTCTCAACCTTCCTAATGCTGCAACCCTTTAATACAGTTTCCTCATGTTGTGGTGACCCCCAACCATAAAATTATTTTCGTTGCTACTTCATAATTGTAATTTTGCTACTGTTGTGAATCGTAATGTAAATATCTGATATGCAGGATGTATTTTCATTGTTACAAATTGAATTAAAGCATAGTGATTAATCACAAAAACAATATGTAATTATATATGTGTTTTCCGATGGTCTTAGGCGACCCCTGTGAAAGGGTCATTCAACCCCCAAAGGGGTCGCGACCTACAGGTTGAGAACCACTGGTTAAAGAGACTGAAACGAAGCAGAGAAAACTTATTGTGCTTAGCAGGTATCTTGCAGAAAGCGTGCAACTACCTGCAGAAAGCGTGCAACTTGAGCACCGCATAGCCCAGATAACCACTAGCCATCTGATGCTGGGAGGAGCCAAGGACAGACCGGACTCTTTAGTCAGCAGAGCAGCTTACAGCCAGCAAAAATTAATTAAAAAAACTTCTCTCTCCCTGGTCTCTTGGCTGATGCCTTTCTCGGTCTCAGCCCACCTGTACCCAGGTGCCTGGAATAAAATCTCTTTTGATATATTATGGCCTTAAGTTTAGTATATTTAACCCAGTCTGTCATTCACTCAGTATGTTTCCCATATATTATGTCATAGGTGCGCGACCCCGGCCCACCCC